TCGCTTTTAAACAAGAAGGGATATCCCGAGAAAAAGGTGTTTTGAGAAAATCAAAGGTAAATTTTAACCCCTTGTTCAGTTTCTTTAAAAGACAAGGAGAGTTTTCTCTATAGCCAAACAAATATACACACCAATGAAACCAAACTTCTCCTATAGGTAGGGCAATATCCACTTTGGTGTAGGCCAAGATTTCTGGAAACCCCCGAAATCTGGGTTAGCCCGCTTGTCCTTAAAAGTGACCGTGTATCACCTGTGCGTCCCTATCTGTTTGTGTAATAACTGAGAAATTTGTCAATGTCTGTTCCGCACGGGTCAATGAGGTGGTGTCCCCAACTGTTCTGTGATGAACTAGTAGTCTAGTTGCTAGGAGACCGGACTCGCAATCGTGAGGTTGTGACGTCGGTAGTCTAGTGGTAGTGCTTCTACTTCTAGACTCGTAATCGTGAGGTGCGAAGTCTAGTGGTTAGGCTTCTAGACTCGTAATCGTGAGGTGCGAAGTCTAGTGGTTAGGCTTCTAGACTCGTAATCATGAGGTTGTGTGTTCGGGGGGTTCGAGCCTCGGCCCGACTTTGTGTCCTTGCGAAAATAATAATAATAATAATAATAATCAATTGCATATATATAGTATAGCGCATTTCCACAAAGAAGTGCTCAATGCGCTGTACAATAATACAAAGAACATATGAAGTGCACAGCTTCTCTCTCTCTCTCTGTCTCTCTCTCACTCCCTCTGTCTCTCTCTCTCCCTCTGTCTCTCTCTCTCTCACTCCCGCTGTCTCTCTCTCTCTCCATCTGTCTCTCTCTCTCTCCCTCTGTCTCTCTCTCTCCCTCTGTCTCTCTCTCTCTCTCTCTCTCTCTCTCTCTCTCCATCTGTCTCTCACTCGCTCCCTTTCCCTCTCTGTCCCTCTTTCCCGTCCATTTCATTAATAAGCAATATGTCATGAAAAAACACGCAACATAAAAAACCCAGTGGAATCCTCTCTGACTACATTGTGAGTACTAAGAAGAAAATGCTCATGTGGTGAGTGACTGACCTCATGCCACGTTGATGAGATAGATAGATAGATAGATAGATAGATAGATAGATAGATAGATAGATAGATAGA